TGTACATCTGTCTTGTCCTCTGATTGACAGCTACGAGTGTCTATCTTCGTGTTTGTTCGAAAGGTTGTGCTTTCATCTTCGTATATGCATGTGGCCCGCAGTTTTGAGCGTTTTCGTCTGTGATCTTCAGTTTTCCGCGTTCATTTTGTCTGTGAATTGTAAGTTTTTTGTCCACCTTCGTCTGTGATCGAGATTTTCAGTTTTGCGACTTCCTGTAGATCTGTGACTTTCACTTTTGCAAGGTTATTTTCGTGAGCGACCTACAGTTTGTGCGTTTTCATCTGTAACCGTCAGATTTCGATTCCTTGTTTATTTTTGTCTGTGAATTGAATCTTCTGCGTCTATCATCAGTGTTCAAGACTTACGTTTTGCGTGTTCCCGTGCATCGTGTGGACGCGACTTTCAGTTTTGTAAGCTAATCTTTGTCAGTAAATTGCAGATTTTTTTTGTTTATATTTGTCTCTGTATTTTAAAACATGTTTGTATATCTTCGTCATTAACGTTCATTTTTTAAGGGTTTACCTGGTCTCTATGTTTCGAGAGTTTGCACCTCATTTTTATAATAACTGTGCTTCTATGTCAGTTAAGTCAGGACGGAGTTGGAAGGAAANCTTCGTCTGTGATCGAGATTTTCAGTTTTGCGACTTCCTGTAGATCTGTGACTTTCACTTTTGCAAGGTTATTTTCGTGAGCGACTTACAGTTTGTGCGTTTTCATCTGTAACCGTCAGATTTCCTTGTTTATTTTTGTCTGTGAATTGAATCTTTTGCGTCTATCATCAGTGTTCAAGACTTCAGTTTTGCGTGTTCCCGTGCATCGTGTGGGCGCGACTTTCAGTTTTGTAAGCTAATCTTTGTCAGTAAATTGCAGCTTTTCTTGTTTATATTTGTCTGTGTATTTTAAAACATGTTTGTATATCTTCGTCATTGACGTTCATTTTTTAAGGGTTTACCTGGTCTCTATGTTTCGAGTTTGCACCTCATTTTTATAATAACTGTGCTTCTATGTCAGTTAAGTCAGGATGGAGTTTGAAGGAAAAATGTAGACTTTCTCAAGGAATAAACTGGTGATGATTTTTCTGTTATCCTGTAGACAAACAAAGTCCAGTGTAAAGAGAAACTAACGTCGCTTTTGATTCTTTCACCGAGAGAAAGGGAAGTGGTGAGTTAACTACGT